ATGAGTACGGGAGTGGAAGGGATGTGAGAGAACATGGTGATGGGATTGACGTGGGAAGAAACATGAAAGGGCAGATTGGTGAAGGGAGCGGTAGAAGCAGTCATGTGGGCATGGAGGGTGTGGGATTCGAATCCTACACTATTGGTGCTCCCCCACTACGCCGACTTGCCACTAACTCCCATCCCACTGGAGTTCCCATAATGGGCAGACCTCACCTTTATGGCAACGTCGTACCTCCTCGTGCGCAATGGTCTCAACCGGAAGCTGTACCTGCAGGAAGCATCGGGCGCATGGGGCACGGGATGCAATCAAGTGGAGTTATGCGACGTGACCAAGTGGAGGTGGTGGAACGTGAAGGAACACAACGCACTGTGCAACTACCTCGACCATCTACCGTGCCTACGCTCTTCGACCCGTCTCCTCGCGAGTACACCGAAGAAGATAAAGACAGGCTATCACGCAAAATGGTGGGAGCAGCGGTGGACAAGGCGTTCACAACAACCCCGTTCGACGGCACTAACTTTCGAGAGTGGGCTCTTCGATTTCGCATGAACGCGCGCGTGACAAATCTGTGGGAGTTTTTCGTGACATTGCAATACCCGGTTACAATGGCGAATGGAGAAATACGAGATGCAATGGAATGGCTGGAAGCTCTGCAAGCAGATTACTCACAACGTGCCACGCTGGCCTTTTGGGTGCTTCTACATAGCGTGAGCGCAACGATTCAGCTACAACTGGACGTCTTCCAAGAGTCATATAGTCCGGCATTCGAAGCATGGGAGTACCTGATGGAGACTTACCAGGCGAAGGATTCGGTGGCAAAGGCATCTCTCCAGAGGCAATTGGACAACCTGAAGATGGGGAGCCAAGAAAGGGTGGAGGAATACGTCAACCGAGCAACTGCAATTCGGGACAAGCTGGCAATGGCAGGAAAAATGGTGGATGAAGATTCATTCACCTTAAACCTGATCACCGGGCTACCGCCGCATTGGGAGGAGCTAAGGCATTCGGCAATGCTACACGATATCTCGGACAGCTACACACTGCAACGAATGATGATTCAGGAACAACGCTACCAAGACCTCATTAGCAAAACCAACCGTGACAAACGTCCTCCCCGCATGGCTGGTCAAGCACGTGGAGATACTTCACCAACAAAGGAGAGGACCGAGACAAAGGGCAACCAAAATGCGGCGAAGTCAACGGGCGGACAGCATGCGACGGTGGGAGACAAATCCAAAGGCAACGAAGGAAGGGGAGGGCGATCAAACCTTGTGTGTTGGTACTGCAAGGAATCTGGCCACCCGTTCTACAAGTGTCCTAAGGCGCCTCCGGGTTGGTCACCACCAGGTTGGGAGCCACAAAACAGAGGGAGGACAAACCAACGCACCTGGAGTAGCCGTTCGTCCTCGCCTCGAAGGAGTGAAAGCCCGAAACGTGACACCCAAGTGTCAAAACAGCAAGGGGCAACCGGGGGAGACAGCAAATGAACCGTTACATGCATTGCAACGGTTCGATCGTCACAAGCAACATTACCATCAACCGGAGGGTCGATGTGGTTGCTGGACAGCGGATGCAGCCAACACATGACTTCAGAAAAGGATTGGTTTGAGGGTCTGGAGAAGCTGAACGAACCTGTTTACGTGGAGCTTGCTGACGGAAGCCACCTGTTGAGCTCGATGACGGGAACAATCCGAGCAACGGCACCGGATGGAACAACCGTGCGCTACACGGATGTGCTCTACGTACCCGGCTTGAAGTCCAACCTGCTGTCCTATTGCCAACTGTACAAGAAGGGAGCTCGAATTCACACACGTGAGGATGGGCACACGGAGATCACAATGACGGATGGAGATGAGCATGTGCTCATTGGAGTTGGAATGGTCATCCATGGGGTGTTAATGGTGCAATATGAGCCTGCACTTGCATCCGCCCATGAATCTGGTCATGATCATCCGAATGATGCATTGAATGCGACTGATCTTGGAGGGCTGAATGTGCAATCTGCTCATGCATCCATCACATATCGCACGGCCCACAAGCGCTTGGATCACCCATCATACTCATCCATGGACGCAACATTTCGCAATGGAGATGTTGAAGGACTCTCCATATCCGACAAGACAAACCCCCTCAAACCCCCATGTGACTCATGCCTTCGAGGAAAGATGAGCAAGGCCCCATTTCCCACAGGTGGCGACAAGCGCACAACTCGACCTTTGGAGCTCGTGCATAGCGACATCATGGACTTGGGTGACGCTCACCCCTCACTCCGCTACGTGCTGACGCTCAAGGACGACTACACCAACTACCTATGGGTGGCGCCGTTGGCTCGCCGATCCGACATGGCAGTTGTTTTCTCGGCTTGGCATCGCGAAATGATGACCAAGTTGCCCACGAAGCCGTTGGCTGCCTTACGCACGGACAACGGGGGGGAGTATACCGCAAATGCTTTCACGGATTACCTAAGCTCTCATGGCATCAGTCACCAAATGTCCCTACCACATACACCGCAGCAGAATGGAGTCGCCGAACGGGTCAACCGCACGGTCATGGACCGAGTGCGTGCAATGACCACCGGAGCCAACCTTTCTTCTAAGTTCTGGCCCTATGCGCTGGAGTACGCATCATGGTTACACAACCGCATCAGCTGCAGCAGCAAACCGTCAGCACACTCACCGTACTTCATGATGACGGGAAGGGCAGCAGATGTTTCAATGGCAAGAACTTTTGGGTGCCTCTGCTACTATCTCCCTCCCCAAGGCAGCTTTGGGAAGTTTGAGCAAAGAGGAAGAGTTGGCATGTTCCTTGGACTCTCCAACGCTCGGAAGGCATGGATCGTGCGGGACTTGGCAAGCGATGTGGACACTGACACACGCTCAGCTCGATTCTTTGATGACCTCACGATTCTGGACGCTGAATCGGTGCTCGAGCGACATCGCTACTTGGAGGAAGTCTCACCACACATTGATGGTTGGACTTTTGGGGAAGAAAGCTTTGGGTCCAAGTTTGACTCATTTCCCGCAACCCCACCATCACCTACATCGCCCACGGATACCTCTGCCACACGAGGACAGGAAGCTGCCGCTAATCAAGAGGATGCACCCATTGACGACACAACCGATAAAGGAGAAATGGCTGCAACAAGTGACTTACCTCCAGCTGGCGTCTCTGTTCTTGAAGGTGCTGAAACCAACGGAGTGGAGAATGAGACACGTCATCTCTATGATTTTTCCTACGCACCTGATGGGATCGAGCTGGCAGATCAGAACGCAACTCCACGGCGGGTTCACTTCAACCCAGTTGTGACTGTGCTTGGAGGAGGAAGACAAGGGACAGACAGCATGACAGGACTGGACGTGCTTTTCGGAAAACGACAAGCAGCACAAGACACCTTCCCAACCTGCAACAACATGTGCTAGGATGTGCAGCGACAGGCGTCCCCATGGTGAACCTAACGTACAAAGAGCCTAAATCGCTCAAGGAGATGACAACAGACCAGTACGCACCTCTTTGGCAAGCCGCTGTGGATGCAGAATTGGCCAAGTTTGACGAGCTGGATGCATACGAAGTGGTGGACAGAGCAGACGTACCTAAGGGAACGACAGTGTTGACGGAAGGAGTCGTTTTAAGGGTGAAGCGAGATGAGCATGGACAGCCAACCCGGTTCAAAGCGCGCTGGGTGGTCAAAGGATGCGGACAAACATGGGGAACATACGATGATACACATGCACCGGTCAGCCAAGGCTCTACCTCACGCACGTTCGTGGCTGGTGCATCTGCTACGAAGCGGAAAGTGGTGCAACTGGACATCTCCAATGCATTCTTGTACGCTCCAATCGACCGGGACGTGTATGTGAGGCCACCGGAACCACGGCGCGACGGGGACAAAGTTTGGAAGCTCAAGCGCAGCGTGTATGGCCTGAAACAGGCACCACGCTTGTGGCATCAGCACTTACGGGGTGTCTTGTTGGAGCTGGACATGGTGCAATCCGAATCAGACCCCTCTCTGTTTATCTGGAAAAGAGACGGACAGGACACGGTGTGGCTACTCACTTACGTTGACGACATCCTCATCCAGTCTCATGACGCAGAAGGCATTGAAGCTGTGATTCAACACTTGAAGCAGCACTTTACCTTAACGGTCAGCGAGACCATGACGCAGTTTTTGGGGCTCAACGTCACCGCGGACAATGACTCGGTCGCACTCGGACTCAAAAAGTACATCTCACAGGCTTTGGCGACATTCGGGATGGAGGGCAGCCGTTCCGGAGTACGGACACCGATCGCCAAGGAACCTGGACCACAAGGAGAACCACCGGACGAGATTGATGGTCAATTGGTGCTAAAACAAGTTGGGACATTGCTGTACATCTCAACAGCAGGGCGGCCGGACATAACCTATGCGGCGCATGTGCTGGCCAGGCAAACAAGCAAACCAACAGCAGCAACAGTGCTTGGAATCCATAGGGTGTTCAACTACTTACAGAACACTGCAGACATGGGGCTGGTCTATGGAGGAGGAGACTTGGTGCTCCGCGGATACACGGACTCGGATTATGCGAACGAAGAAGGGCGTCACTCAGTTGGAAGCTACGTGTTTACCTTGAGAGGAGCTGCTGTCAGTTGGAGGACTAAACGACAAACGGTCATTGCGACATCAACAGCTGAAGCAGAATACATTGCACTGTTTGAAGGGACAAGGGAAGCCACATACCTTCGCCGCTTGTGTGAAGACCTCGGTTTTTGACAGCAAGACCCTACCGTCATCTTTGTGGATAACCAAAGCGCCATTGCGCTTGCAACCGGAGAGCAGATGAGTCAACGCATCAAGCACATGGACATCCGTTACCATTGGATGAGGAAGGCCGTTCGTGATGGAGTTGTGCGGCCGGAGTACTGCCCAACAGCTCAGCAAGCTGCGGATTATCTCACCAAGCCCCTCACAGCCAAACAACATCTCACCTGCAGCCTCTTGTGCGGTCACCAACCAACTCCACATGTCGCACCGTCTGCACCCAGTACTCACATTGAAGCTGCTGGGGCTGCACTCTCAAGTCCGGGCTTCTCAAGGGGAGCTGAACAACACAGCATCACGTAACTCCACACATCTCACTCATGTGTTAGGTGATGTGTGCGTGCTCACGCATGTGCATGCCTACAAACACACGAGTGAGAGGGGTAGTGGGGTGTGGAGTATCTTGGGGTGCAACAAATCAGGATTTCATCTCACAACCATCTTTTCATTTTCGTCATCACAAGAGTCAGCATATAATCATGAGAAGACCTACTGCAATCAGTAACAACATCAGCCATCAGATATTCTGCTGGACAGTCGCTGCTGCTGGTTGGTCACAACCACTCGCCATCTGCAGCGGCCGTTCCTGAAGACTTCATATGCCTGCTGGTTTCAGGGGGAGACGAAACATATCAGCATGAGTCAGCATGGGGCAAGCAGACAGAGGGAATCACAAGAGGAAGCTGACTCCTACTAAATACAAAAGCATGATTCCAATGAGAGGGAGGGGGAGACAACTAGAGACAGGCACTGCTGGTGCTGCTCACCAAGGTGACGCAGGTGCTGCTGATACTGCTGCCACCCAGTGCTGGAGCTGCACCAGTGCAAGCGGCCAGCGCATCAGGGAGAGCTGCTGCAGGCCCGGTGCTGCAGGGCTTCAGGTGCTGCAGGGCGTCAGGGGGAGCTGCTGCAAGCGACCAGGTGATGCTGCTGCCACCAGTCAGGTGGTGCCGCTGGCAGACGTTTGCAGCCGCAGCCGCCAGGTGCAGACGCAGCCGCCAGTGCAGACGCAGCCGCCAGTGCAGACGCAGCCGCCAGGAGCAGAAGCAGCCGCCAGGAGCAGAAGCGTTTGCAGCCGCAGCCGCCAGGTGCAGACGCAGCCGCACTGTGGCTACCGGGGCCGTATCCCCGGACTACAGGAGTAACTGGCTCTGCGGCTAACTCTGAGCGGCAGGAGCAACGGACCCACAGGCGACTGGCGCAGCAGGCTCGCTGGGCTACCGGAGATTGTAGCCTCCGGACTACTGGCGCTGCAGGCGACACGACGGCTACCTCCGCTCAACCTCCCCCAACTGTCCCACCCCCCTTTCACACACCCCTTGCTGCACCCCTAGCTCCACTCCCACGTCACCCCCCTAGCACCACTCCCTAGGCTCCCACACACCCACCCCCCTCAGCGGCAGCTGCAGCAGTGGGAGACGGAGAAGGAGGAGGAGTAGGGGACGGTTCACACACCCGCCACCCCCATACCCTCCCCCCACTGCTGCACCTGCAGCAGGGGATGGAGGAGAAAGGGGGGGGGGGGGGGGGGGGGGGGGGGGGGGGGGCGGGGGGGGGGGGGGCTGTGCATGGCGCGTGCAGAGGGCAGCAGGGCGCACGGGGCGCACAGGGCAGCAGGGCGCACAGGGCAGCAGGGCGCGCGGGGCGCACAGGGCTGCAGGGCGCGCGGGGCGCACAGGGCAGCAGGGCAGCAGGGCGCACAGGGCTGCAGGGCAGCAGGGCGCGCGGGGCAAACAGGGCAGCAGGGCGCACAGGGCTGCAGGGCAGCAGGGCGCACAGGGCTGCAGGGCAGCAGGGCGCGCGGGCGCGCAGGGCTGCAGGGCGCGCAGGGCTGCAGTGCGCGCAGGGCGCGCAGGGCAACAGGACAGTAGGGCGCGCAGGGCGCGCAGGGCTGCAGGGCGCACGGGGCGCAGCAGGGCTGCAGGGCGCGCGGGGCGCGCAGGGCAGCAGCAAGGGCTGTAGCGGCAACAGCAAGGGCTGTAGCGGCAGCAGCAGGGCAGCAGGGCGCACAGGGCTGCAGGGCAGCAGGGCGCACAGGGCTGCAGGGCAGCAGGGCGTGCGGGGCGCGCAGGGCTGCAGGGCGCGCGGGGCGCACAGGGCTGCAGGGCGCGCGGGGCGCACAGGGCAGCAGGGCAGCAGGGCGCACAGGGCTGCAGGGCAGCAGGGCGCGCGGGGCAAACAGGGCAGCAGGGCGCACAGGGCTGCAGGGCAGCAGGGCGCACAGGGCTGCAGGGCAGCAGGGCGCGCGGGGCGCGCAGGGCTGCAGGACAGCAGGGCGCGCAGAGCGCGCAGGGCTGCAGGACGCGCGGGGCGCACAGGGCAGCAGGGCGCGCGGGGCGAAGAAGGGCTGCAGGGCGCGCGGGGCGCGCAGGGCAGCAGCAAGGGCTGTAGCGGCAACAGCAAGGGCTGTAGCGGCAGCAGCAGGGAAGCAGGGCGCACAGGGCTGCAGGGCAGCAGGGCGCACAGGGCTGCAGGGCAGCAGGGCGCGCAGGGCTGCAGGGCGCGCATGGCGCGCAGGGCAGCAGGACAGCAGGGCGCGCAGGGCTGCAGATCCCCTCCCCCCCACCGCTGCACCAGCAGCAGGGGGATGGAGGAGAAGTGGGGGGGAGGGGGGGGGGGGGGGGGGGGGGGGGGGGCTGATGCTGCAACTCCCCTCCCCCCACTGCTGCTGCAGATCCCCTCCCCCCCACTGCTGCACCCGCAGCAGGGGTGGAGGAGAAAGGGGGGGGGGGGGGGGCGGGGGGGGGGGCTGGTGCTGCAGATCCCCTCCTGCCTCCCTCTGAACCTCCAAGCTCCCCCCCACTCCCAACACAGGGTGCGGCAGGGAGAGAGAGAGGAGAAAAGGGCGGGGGGGGGGGGGGGCTGATGCTGCAAATCCCCTCCCCCCACTGCTGCTGCAGATCCCCTCCCCCCCACTGCTGCACCCGCAGCAGGGGTGGAGGAGAAAGGGGGGGGGGGGGGGCGGGGGGGGGGCTGGTGCTGCAGGTCCCCTCCCCTCACTGCCGCATCCGCAGCAGGGGGAGATAGGAGAAGGGGGGGGGGGGGGGGGGGGGGCTGATGCTGCAAATCCCCTCCCCCCACTGCTGCTGCAGATCCCCTCCCCCCCACTGCTGCACCCGCAGCAGGGGTGGAGGAGAGAAAGGGGGGGGGGGGGGCTGGTGCTGCAGGTCCCCTCCCCCCACTGCCGCATCCGCAGCAGGGGGAGATAGGAGAAGGGGGGGGGGGGGGAGGTTGGTGCTGCAGATCCCCTCCCCCCCCACTGCTGCACCCGCAGCAGGGGGGAGGTAGGAGAAGGGGCGGTGCAGGAGCCGCTCGGGCGACAGCAGGTTGGCCACACCCGCAACCCCCATACCCTCCCCCCACTGCTGCACCCGCAGCAGAGAGATGGAGGAGAAGGGGAGGGGGGGGGGGGGGGGGCTGGTGCTGCAGATCCCCTCCTGCCTCCCCCTGAACCTCCAAGCTCCCCCCCCTCTCCCACCACAAGATGCGGCAGGGAGAGAGAGAGGAGGAGGTGTGGCGGCAGCTGCTGCTGCTGAGGCACATCCGCCACCCCCTCACACCCTCTCCCCGCCATCCCCATGGAGGGGGGGGAGGGGGGGGAGGGGGGCGGGGGCGGAGCTGCGCGTGCGACTGTAGGGCACGCGGGCAGGAGGTACCCCCTCTTGCCACCCCCTCACCCACCATGTTGCAACAGGGCACCGGGGCCGTGGGTAGGGGCGGCAGATCGCGAGGGGCCATGGCCAGGGGCGAGGAGGCCATGGCTAGGGGCGACGGGGCCAAGGGGGCCTAGGGGCCGCGGGGCCAAACAAGGGGCCGGGGGGGCCTAGGGGGGCCGAGGGGCCAAACAAGGGGCCGGGGGGGGCGGGCGCCGGGCTATGAGGTGGGGCCGTGGGGCCTAGGAGCCGCGGGGCCAAACAAGGGGCCGGGGGGGGGCCTAGGGGGGCCGAGGGGCCTAGGGGGCCGAAGGGCCAAACAAGGGGCCGGGGGGCCGGGCGTCGGGCTATGAGGTGGGGCCGAGGGGCCTAGGGGCCGCGGGGCCAAACAAGGGGCCGGGGGGGGCTAGGGGGGCCGAGGGGCCTAGGGGGCCGAGGGGCCAAACAAGGGGCCGGGGGGGGGGGGGGCGGGCGCCGGTCTCTGAGGTGGGGCCGAGGGGGCCTAGGGGCCGCGGGGCCAAACAAGGGGCCGGGGGGCCTAGGGGGGCCGAGGGGCCTAGTGGGCCGAGGGGCCAAACAAGGGGCCGGGGGGCCGGGCGCCGGGCTCTGAGGTGGGGCCGAGGGGCCTAGGGGCCGCGGAGCCAAACAAGGGGCCGGGGGGCCAAGGGGGGCCGAGGGGCCTAGGGGGGGCCGAGGGGCCAAACAAGGGGCCGGGTGCAGGTCAGGTACGGGGCCGGGCGATGGGCAGGTACGGGGCCGGGCGCTGGGCAGGTACAGGGCCGGGCGCTGGGCAGGTACAGGGCCGGGCGCTGGGTAGGTACGGGGCCGGGCGCTGGGCAGGTACGGGGCCGGGCGCTGGGCAGGTACGGGGCCAGGCGATGGGCAGGTACGGGGCCAGGCGCTGGGCAGGTACGGGGCCAGGCGCTGGGCAGGTACGGGGCCGGGCGCTGGGCAGGTACGGGGCCGGGCGCTGGGCAGGTACGGGGCCAGGAGCTGGGCAGGTACGGGGCCTGGCGCTGGGCGCGGAATGGGGCCGGGCGCGGGGCTAGGTACGGGGCCGAGCGCGGGCAAAGGACGGGGGGCCGGGCGCGAGGCTAGGTACGGAGCCAGGCGCTGGCGACAGAAGGGGCCGGGCGCGGGCTAGGTACGGGGCCGGGCGCTGGCTAGGGTCGGGGCCGTGCGCTGGGCTAGGTACGGGCCGGGCGCGGGGCTAGGTACGAGCCGAGCGCGGACGAGAGACGGGGCCGTGCGCGGGCAGGGTACGGGCCGGTCGCGAGGCTAGGTACGGGCCGATCGCGGGGCTAGGAACGGGGCCGTGCGCGAGGCTAGGTACGGGCCAGGCGCGGGGCTAGGAAAGGGGCCGAGCGCGGGCTAGGTACGGGCCGATCACGGGCTAAGTACGGGCCGGGCGCGAGGCTAGGTACGGGCCAGGCGCGGGGCTAGGAAAGGGGCCGAGCGCGGGCTAGGTACGGGCCGATCGCGGGCTAAGTACGGGCCGGGCGCGAGGCTAGGTACGGGCCAGGCGCGGGCGAGGTACGGGCCGGGCGCGGGGCTAGGAATGGTGCCGAGCGCGGGCTAAGTACGGGCCGGGCGCGGGGCGACGGAGTCGACGGGGCCAAGGGGCCGAGGCGACGGGGCCAAGGGGCCGAGCCTAGGGGCTAGGGGCGACGCCAAGGAGCGACGGGCCGGGGCCTAGGCTAGCAGGGCAGTAGGTGGTGGGCCCATTAACATTAGGTCCTAGGAAATTTATGCTCTTAATACCATGTTAGAATAGTAGTGACTTAGGAACCATGGCTAGGAAGGATGTCAAGAGAGTTGAGTGTCGAGAGAATTGGAAAGGAGAATGAGGGGTTTCACTAGCAAGAGTTGGGATACAAGTACAACACCCTAAATTGGGTTGTACTCATTACAGAGTACCCCACTGCAGGCTAGACAGCAAATACATTCTGACAACATCAACAGCTGAAGCAGAATACATTGCACTGTTTGAAGGGGCAAGGGAAGCCACATACCTTCGCCGCTTGTGTGAAGACCTCGGTTTTCGAGAGCAAGACCCTACCGTCATCTTTGTGGATAACCAAAGCGCCATTGCGCTTGCAACCGGAGAGCAGATGAGTCAACGCATCAAGCACATGGACATCCGTTACCATTGGACGAGGAAGGCCGTTCGTGATGGAGTTGTGCGGCCGGAGTACTGCCCAACAGCTCAGCAAGCTGCGGATTATCTCACCAAGCCCCTCACAGCCAAACAACATCTCACCTGCAGCCTCTTGTGCGGTCTCCAACCAACTCCACATGTCGCACCGTCTGCACCCAGTACTCACATTGAAGCTGCTGGGGCTGCACTATCAAGTCCGAGCTTCTCAAGGGGAGCTGAACAACACAGCATCACGTAACTCCACACATCTCACTCATGTGTTTGGTGATGTGTGTGTGCTCACGCATGTGCATGCCTACAAACACACGAGTGAGAGGGGGAGTGGGGTGTGGAGTATCTTGGGGTGCAACAAATCAGGATTTCATCTCACAACCATCTTTTCATTTTCGTCATCACAAGAGTCAGCATATAATCATGAGAAGACCTACTGCAATCAGTAACAACAGCAGCCATCAGATATTCTGCTGGACAGTCGCTGCTGCTGGTTGGTCACAACCACTCGCCATCTGCAGCGGCCGTTCCTGAAGACTTCATATGCCTGCTGGTTTCAGGGGGAGACGAAACATATCAGCATGAGTCAGCATGGGGCAAGCAGACAGAGGGAATCACAAGAGGAAGCTGACTCCTACTAAACACAAAAGCATGATTCCAATGAGAGGGAGGGGGAGACAACTAGAGACAGGCACTGCTGGTGCTGCTCACCAAGGTGACGCAGGTGCTGCTGATACTGTTGCCACCCAGTGCTGGAGCTGCACCAGTGCAAGCGGCCAGCGCATCAGGGAGAGCTGCTGCAGGCCCGGTGCTGCAGGGCTTCAGGTGCTGCAGGGCGTCAGGGGGAGCTGCTGCAAGCGACCAGGTGATGCTGCTGCCACCAGTCCGGTGGTGCCGCTGGCAGACGTTTGCAGCCGCAGCCGCCAGGTGCAGACGCAGCCGCCAGGAGCAGAAGCAGCCGCCAAGAGCAGAAGCGGTTACCAAGAGCTTATGTACCAGTTGCAGCTGCCTCCGGGCGCCACCTATTATAGGGGGAGCAGCACAAGGTAACATGGAGAAGCACAGGGCAACATGGAGCAACACAAGGTCAAGAGGAGCAGCACAAGGTAACATCACAGGGTAACAAGGTGACATGGGTGAAGCAGTCTGGTTCGACTAAGCATTCTCACCTCGGCAGGAAGGAGAAAGCCGGACGCCAGGAGTTACAGCGGTGTGTGGGCGGTTACGCAGCTGCTGTGTGCCACAGGTGCTGCCGTGCGCCGCAGGTGCTGCCGTGCGCCACAGGTGCGGCCGTCACTACGGTCGTGGGCGTCAGCAGGAGAGGCAGCCGCGCGACGAGGGCAGTGGCGTCATACGCGAGGCGCTGCAGGAGCGCCATGTCGTCCGAAATGGCAAGGGGAGGGCGCGCACCAGCAGAAACCGCCACATGCGATATAATGCAGCAGCGCGCATGCTGCTGCAGTCGTGCGCCAACCGCTGCTGCCGACCGTCACAGGCATCGATGTAGCGGAGCGCCATGAACAGCAGTCACGCGCAAGGAGCTGCAGCGCGCAGGTCGTCAAGCGAGGAGGTTACTGCAGTCGCGCGACAGAGGAAGCAGTAACGCGACAGAAGCAGCAGTCGCGGATCTGGCCGCAGCCGCAGAAAATGCGCATTTGACGCTGCAGGTTGTCACGTGCGCTGCTGTCACCAAGCGCCAGCCGTGACATGGCGAGCGCTAGTGATGTGCGCTAGCTACAGCTGCAGGACATCGCGCTTCAGGACGGAGCAGGAGCTGCTGAACGACGATCTGCAATTGCAGGTCGAAAAATGGAAGTTGCGCCATGGAAAACCTAATACGTTACAAGCTGCAGCAGCAGCCATGGCTACGATGGGAGGAGTTGACACGGCTGGGAAGGCAGATCGGATAGGGAGTAACGACTCACGAGCAGGAGTAAGGAGCAGCAACACTCAATCGGAAGAGACGAGGTTTGGAGAGCGAAAATGACACACTTGGGATAGACCCCGTTGAGAGGGATGCACGGAACTGAAGCAGGAGAAGCAGCGTCTGGTGTGAGGGGGGTCGTTCGAAGGGACCACCTGCGCGTCGGAACGTGCAGTACAGCAATCGCCAGTTGCACGGAAATTACAACACGACAAACAACCCCATTGTCCGCCGCGATCCCAACGGAACTATTCGACTACGTTCGGTTCGCCGTGATCAACGCTGCCATCACCCAAGGTGACTCCGAAATCAACGCCGTGACCCAAATTCACTCCGCAATCAACGGCGTTTACAGAAATCCCTCCAAAACCAGCTTCGGTAAAATCTACAGCAAGGGGGAGTGTTGAGAAATATAACATATAACGAAACATTGATGCTGTTAGATTTTACTGTAGTCCTCCTTATAAGACTTCAGGGCCTACAATAATTGTACAATTATTGTAGGGCTGGAATTATTGGAGTCTAGAGGTCTGGGGGTAGAATTATTGGTACTCCTTTATTGGAGTTGCCATTATTGGTGGCACAATTATTGGTGTGGATGGATGGGTATGGGCAGGGTAGCTGATAGCAAAAATTCCCTGCTGTGGTTTCATAATCAATCAATTCCATTATTCTGAATCCATTCAGTTGCAAGGTTCTCTTGCTATTCTCTTCTATAATCAAGGCTTCCGCTACAACGGCACTGTGCCTTTCTAGCAAGTTCAACCATCCAGGTAGAGGCAACAGGATGTCACATACTTACGCAAAGCACCACAACAAAGGCATTGTGTCGTGTTAACGCAAACTCAATACGGTCGATAGCCTGCATACCCTCCCCCAGGCCCAAAGTCGTTTCGCCTCACCGGCCCTACCCCCCCTCCACCAGCACCACCTGGACCCCCACCACCACCAATGGTAGGACCAGCAGCGGCAGCAGCTCCAGGATTTGGAGCAAGCACGCCAGGACCACCGCCCTGCCCACCCATCCCCCCAGGCCCACCCATTGCTCCGGGCCCAGACATCCCCCCTGGGACACCCATCCCACCAGGCCCACCCATTCCCCCAGGCCCGGCCAAGCCAGGGTTAACGGGCGGCGGGAAGCGGATGATGGGTCGCTGCGGGTCGAAGCGGCCGTCCACAGAGGGCTGGCCGGGCGGCGGCATGCGCTGCTGCTGGGGAAACCCTCCTTGCTGCTGTTGCTGCTGCTGCTGCTGAGGATACTGCTGCTGCTGGGGCGGCGGCTGGTGCTGCTGTTGCAAGTACTGCTGCTGAGGAGGGTAGAACTGGGGCTGCTGCTGCTGCTGCGGGTACTGCTGCTGTTGCTGCGACTGCTGCTGCTGCTGCTGCTGCTGTTGAAGGAACTGTGGCTGGTACTGCTGGGCCTGGGGCTGTGCCTGCAGTTGCGGCTGCATCTGAGACTGTGGGTTCAGGTTGTAGGCAGCAACGGGATACTGCCCTGGCACACCGCCCATCCCTGGACCAGCACCAACAGCTGCATTACCAGCAGCGGCGGTGGCGCCGGCGCCACCAGCCGCAGCAGGAGCAGGGGAAGCAGAAGCACTACCAGCAGCGGCAGCAGTGGAGACAGGAGCAGGGCTGGCTTGGACTGGCTTGGGCTGTGCGGCGGCGGCAGGGGCGGTGTATCGCTCTACTCTCAACCGCCGGTTGCCCAGTTGATGCTCGTTCAACGCTGACGTGGCAATGTCCGCTGATGTGGGCGAGTCCAAGTGGACGTAGCCTGGTTGGGAGACAGTGAGGGCGGGGTGACGTGGCAGAACAAACGGTTGGCTTAGCAAGATTGATAGCTGGTGTGCTTCTTCGATCCACACTTGGTCCATTCGCCGTAAACTGGCGAAAGTTGTCTTTCCAAAAAAAAATCCTGGTTACAATGAATCTGCATCAGCCCCCATGCCATGCCCCTTGTCCCCTTATTGCCCAGATGCAGCGCCACTCACCGTAGCCCAACCACGTAGCCCAACCATTTCAGGGGGTCGCGCGCCACCTGCACGGCCACCACTACCCTCGCTCCACCAGCTGCCATGCATGCACACTCCATGGCACGCGCCATGTTCCACTACCCTCGCCCCGACTGCTGCTGCCCAGTTCGCCACTCACCGTAGCCCAGCCCCCGGTTGCCCTCGCGAGCCACCTGCACGGCCACCACGGTGCCGTACGTGCGGAACAGCTCCACCAGCTGGCGCTCGCTGTAGTCCTCGGGTAGCCCGTACACCGCCAGGGGGGTCACTGCCACACATGCACACAGGAAAGGGGCGCACAGGCACACTCAGAGACTCCTGAGTCGACTTAACAGCTCCACAAGCTGGCGCTCGCTGTAGTCCTCGGGTAGCCAGTACACCGCCAGGGGGGTCACTGCCATGCACACAGGCGGGGGTGGGGGAGGGGTGGGGGGAGGGGGGGAAGGGAGCAAGGGGCGGGCAAGGCTATGTTTGGAATATACGCTCAGGCCCTAAAAAGCGTATAGCGTTTATACGCTTGCGTATATACCCAAAACGCTATAAGCTATACGCACTCAGTTTCCCCCATCAGTTTCCCCCATCAGTTTCAGTTTCCCCCATCAGTTTCCCCCATCAGTTTCCCCCATCAGTTTCCCCCATCAGTTTCCCCCATCAGTTTCCCCCATCAGCTTCCCCCATCAGTTTCCCCCATCAGTTTCCCCCATCAGTTCCCCTCATCAGTTTCCCCCATCAATTTCCCCCATCAGTTTCTGTTTCCCCCATCAGTTTCCCCCATCAGTTTCAGTTTCCCCCATCAGTTTCAGTTTCCCCCATCAGTTTCCCCCATCAGTTTCCCCCATCAGTTCCCCCCATCAGTTTCCCCCATCAGTTTCCCCCATCAGCTTCCCCCATCGATTTCCCCCATCAGTTTCCCCCATCTATGTTGGAATATACGCTCAGACCCTAAAGCGTATAGCGTTTATGCGCTTGCGTATATACCCAAAACGCTATACGCACTCAGTTGTTTTTTGAGTATATGAAAAGATACGGATTCTCCTGGTGAGCATTTCGCCGAAGTCGAAATGCAATTCGGTGGTCTAGGGAAGCGGGAATGTGCCTTTGAAGTATTCTGATAGGTCCAATTTGAACTTTCTATTTGCACCGCATTGAAACCCATCCTATCTACAAACTCCAACCCGTCAAAAATGTTCCCCCAACCACCTCACACTCACGCTACTTACCAGCCAGCCAGCCCAACTCCACTCGTCATTTCTAGTTTACATTCCCGCCCAACAGAGTTCCTTCCGATACCTACTTCTCCTTCTAGCGATCTACTCCACCTCCCACCCCACCCACCGTTCAGACTCAGTAAAATGCTAGGGAAGTCTTGGTGAGAATAGGGTAGGGAGTACCTACCTTCCCGGATGTTGAGCACGGCGTTTTTTTCACCCTGCCCAGGAAAGTTTTTCCCTTGCCCGGAAAAGCGTATGCCCAATCTGACCCTTAAGCGTATGGCGTATACACGCCAGCGTATATACGAAACGCAAAAATACGCTAAACGCGTATATTCCAAGGGAAGTGCGCAGGGGAGGGGCGACACTTGAGTTGACTCAAGAGCTCCACCAGCTGGCGCTCGCAGCAGGGAACAGAGGAGAGGGGAGGAAGCAGGCAAAAAATTGACGAGTGGGCGAGTGTCTCACCCACAGCTGCTCTGGCGCCCACAGCAGACCTCCCTGCTTCACAGCCCCAACTCACCTCCACTGCTTTCCTGCTGCTGTTGCTGCTGATGCTGCTGCTTGTCCGGACCATCCTGCTGCTTCTCCCCTGCAGCATCAGCAACACCCGCAACACTCCCATTGGCAGCACTGGCACCACCACCACCACCACCAGCAGCACCAGCAGCAGCACCACCAGCGGTGGCAGCAGCCGCTGCTTTCTCAGCGTCGGCCTTCTTAGCCTCGGCCTGGGCGAGCTCGGGGGGTTTCTCCCACACAGATGTGTTGCTGGCCGCGTGGTAGTAGAACGGCCGCCCGTCCGGTGCTGCATGCTCCGTCCACCCACACTCCGCCACTGGGTCGTCTCCTCCTGCACCCGCATCAGTGGCAGCAACCCCATCAGCACCCGCACCCGCAGCAGCAGCAGCAGCAGCAGCAGCAGCGTCCGCAGAGCCACCGGCAGCTGCTGTGGCTGGTGCTGCTGCTGCTCCTGCTGCGGCACCAGCTGCCGCATCTGCCCCCAGCTGCGCTGCTGTCGCCTTTGCAGGGCCGCCCACAATGCCGTTCTGCTGCCCTGCGTGCCCAAGCGCCTGCATCCCCAGCTGCTGCCCAGCCTGCTGCTGCGGCACTCCCTGCTGCTGCGGCGACACTCCCTGCTGCTGCTGTTGCAGCGCCACCTGCTGCGCCCATGGGGGCTGCTGCGTGGCTGCAATCCCCATAAACGGCTGTTGCCCGCCATACATTGCTGCGAAAAAAAAGGTTGGTGGTGAGAACAGATGGTTCGTAGAAAGGAAGGTTCGTGTAAAGAAAAAAATCTGACACTGATAGAATGGTGTGGCATTATTACGAGGAGAGAGAAGCAAGCAGCAGGATCTAGGATCGCCACAGCTAGTGCAGGGAGGCCGGCAGCAAAGGTGCAACTGAAGGCTGGATTGTGCTCGCTACTGACGGCGATCCTGCTGGTTGCGGACTGCTTGCTGTGCTGTTCTCTGTGCTCGCTGAACGCCGTTAGTGGCGGAATGGGTGGCTAGCGAGCACATGGCAGCACCGCACAGCAAGCAGTCCGCAATGCGCTGTGTTGAGTGGGCCGGGTAGATAGACCAGGCTTATTTGAAATCAGAGCAACGATGCGTCCATCCCTGGGAAAGGCAAGAACGCATCAAAGAAACACTCACCATGCTGCTGGTGCTGCTGCTGCTGTTGCCCCACCACGCCCCTGAGCCTGTCTACCTCCCGTGCAGTGGCCTCGAGGGTCCTCTCCGCCTTCTCACGCTGCTCTGCTGCCTCCATGGCCGCCCGCCTCTCTCGCTCCGCCGCATCCCTGCTCGCCCGCACCAGTAGCAGCAACCGCAGCAGCGGCAGCACCACCACCACCGCCACCGCCACCACCAGCAGCAGCACCACCGACGGTCGTTGTCGCAGCAACACACGCAGTGGAAGGGTGAGAGGTGTGGGGAATGGAGGGTGAGAGGGGGTTTGTGAAACAACGCATGTCAGACCGCAAAACCCTCAACCACGTTGGCTAACCACGTCCCGCAGTGCCTCCACGTTCGCACCAGCTACAGGAAACCCCGCTGTTGCTCCCCTACCAAACCCGTAGTAAGACCACTGGGAAGGTTCGGAAGCTTTTGAGTCGACTCAAAAACCTTCTCACCTGCTAAAGGTAACCTTGCTGCTTCCCCCAACCAAACCTGAAGCAAGACCCACCGGAAAAGTTGGGAGAACCCTCCAACCGTGGTCTCTAGACCGCGTACGCGCTCCTTACAGCCTCACTTTTCATCCTTTCTACTCCCTCCCTCTTCCACCCCTCACCTCGCCTCTCCCCCCATTCCCTCCGCATCCCATATCCCCCTTCCCCATGCCCCTTTCCCATTTCCCCCCCTCTCGCCGCTCCCCTTCCCCTCCCCCATCCCCGCACCTGGCCTGCATCAACTCCTGCCGCATGCCCTCCAGGTCGCTCCGCATGCGCTGCATGTCGCCCCCCATCGCGCTCATCTGCCGCTGCATCTCCGCGCGCCCCGCCTCCGCCTCCCCCCCGCGCGCCTGTAGCGCCTGCAGCTCCATGCGCGCACGATGCAGCTCCCCGCGCAGAGGCTCTGCGAGAACAGCGGGACAACAGAAAGGACGAAGACGTTCTTAAGAAAACATGTCCTTTTAAAGGCGGAGCGACTCATCCCTTCAGGGTGCCTCCCCTCAACCTCACAAAACCTGGACTTGTTGGAAAAAATACGGGATAATGGTTCGTGGAAACAATCGAACACGGGGAGAAACAGTACAAACTAAATATTAAAAACCCCAAGACGCGCGCCTAAATGTATTTAATCTCTTAGGTTCACTCACCGACGGCTCTTAAGTCTGCCTCGAGTTTGGCCTTGTGCTCCATGATTCCCCGCACCGCCTGATCCTTCTCCATCTGCACCGCCGCCAGCGTCGCTTTCGTCCGTTGGATCTCGCCCTGCGCCGCCGCCAGCTCTTGCCGAAGCGCCACGTGTGTCGCCGCCAGCCGTTGATTCTCCGTCAGCAGCTGCTGAATCTCCCCGTGCTGCGCCGCGAATTTCGCCTCGATGCTCCCCGCGCCCACGGGGAGCAACATCGTCGGGGGAGGCGGTTGGGGATGGCGGATAAGCACTTGCCCCTGAGGCCCGCCGGGAATAAGCGCAGGCCCAGGGGGGAGTGGCGGGCGGATGAGATGCGGCGGGGGGGCTGGCGGGGTTCCCCTTCCCCCGACGACAGCCATTTGTCTTCCTCGACCCGCCATGAAACGATTAATTGCGGAGTTATGAAATATGAAGTACCTACGGAAAATACGCGAACTCTCGTGAAACTAGGAGTACTAAACGCTGCGGACACCGATGCGTTAGATGGAGCAAACGCTACGTCAAAATAGCTGTCTAATTGCTCCCTCTAAGATCCGCGGAAATGATTGTGAGAAACAAAAATGGGCATGCTATGGAAACCTGGCCTATACAAAATTGAACCGTTGGAGGTGGCGAAGGGAAGGACGTGCCATGGGATCAACTTGTTAGAAACATCCAATTAAGACAAGACTCTCCAAGGAGTCTGCAGAGCAGTCGTCAGAGAGCAGTCGTCATATTTCAGATCTCTATCATACAGCAGACTAGATTGCAAATTACAAAGATAATGAGGATATAACGAGACGAAAATAACTACCACTGGTATAGATACGAGGCTAACGAGGCTACTAACTAGCGTAAGGGCGGGAGGGTGGGTTCTAGATTCAGATCTAGAAATGATTCGACTAGGTGGCAGGTCTGTGGACCTGCCACGAGATAAGGAGCAGATGACTCCTTACTGCATAATCCTTTACAAGTCTTGTCATAATCTTTAAATTTTGAAAATTGTATTTAAAATTTTTACATATTAAGACAAGACTCTCCAAGGAGTCTGCAGAGCAGTCGTCATAGGAGATAAGAGACATTAGGTGCGTCGGGAGCAAGGCTCTAGAACTCAGGGTTTTACCTTAGTAGGGAAGGACGGAATGGAATGGAGGAACTATATACCCTCACCTACTATTGTGGGGGAGGTTCCCAAGAAGAGAACAATGAAAGAAGTATCAGATGCGCGTAAGAATCGAGTGAGCAATAAGTTGCACAGTGATTGTCGCAAGAAATCGTCAGTAGCGATGAGGCGCCATCCATCTCGTAAGAGAACCTAAATAAAACCCTTTGGCAGTCGTTCGAGGATGTTAGTCGTTTATTCCGACGACCGAGCACGTAAGTGATGAAGTCGGGAAGTTATGGTAGCTAACCATAGTTGTTGAATTGAGCATAATGTCAACATTGTGCAATAACATCCGTCACTTCGATGTAGGGCGGGCCTTTCGCAGCATGACTACATGACTAAGTCGTATTTACCGTAGATCACGGTCGATGACGTATTGCTCACGTTAACATGTTGATGCACTGGTTGCATGGTATGCAAACGATGTTGCCTCGAGTATTAAGGCTGAAGACTAGTGGCATGTTGCTGCAAAGGAGTTGTGAAGCACATACCAAACTTTGACGCATTTCCAATGTGTACAATGCATACAGCTTGTGTAACCAGCTTACAATCCGGTGCCCTTGATAGGGCATTCGTTGTCAATTAACAGCAAAACATGCAGTATCGAATTTAGCGCCTCTGTAAATACGGTAGCACTATGTGTTCAAGGTTCAATAGATGCAGGAGCCATGAAAAGGGGAACCAACGGTTAGTACGCAATGGAAAAACCATGCTATACGATATGGGAAATTTTATGAAACGTGAGCCATTACGACATGGAATATCATCAGTGAAGTGGGTGTGTGAGGGCAAGCAACCCGCCTCTCGACGAGATCCACCTTTTGTATAGACCAAAAGGTCCGAATCACACCAGCTATAAGGTTAGATGTGCGCATAGAAGCGACAACCAACCAAATATTTCCAATCCATCCTCCAGCATTATGCTCGTAACGTGCATGCTCAAGACACGAGTTTGTGTTAACAAAAGTGCAATGATGTTGACAGATCGCACGCCAGATCGATATCCTTCCCCTTTTGGTGGTGTGACTTCATAAAAAGACGAAAGACTTCAAGGTGAGGGGCTGTGAAATGGTCAATCCAAATGGGATATACACGTCACAACGAGTCCGAAGAAATCAAGTACGTGTGCGCTATCCACATGGACTTTCATGTCCTGGTGGGTTTTTCTACAATGAATGTTCATGTATGATATGTGAATGTAAGAGGATCCTTGTGCATGTATCCAAGCGTGCTGTAAAAAAAAAACGGCTTGTGGCTCCCAACAAGAGCCTTCAATTAGCACATGGATATGGTCACACCAAGACGCTGGCATGGCTTGTCATACCGCGAAAGACTATGTCGTATACTGGAAATTGCTCCGAAATGCAGACCTTGCTAAAACCGAACGCTGAAAATCAGGGATTGAACATAAAAACGTTGAAAGTTCGACAATGATGACGCGTTTACGATAGGTCTCAAGGCGATGAGAATAGTTTTTTTTTTTTTTTTTGGAGTCGACAACTTTCTGTATAGCGCCAACTGAATGACAACAAGTACTCGACAATTGCGTAAACGATGTGCGCGTTTGCGTCACAGTCAGCCGAATCACTTCAGCGCCATAATTATGAGGAGTGGTGGTACGTCCGAGCGATAGCTTAGGAAGGGAGTGTTACCATTTACGGAAAAACACATCATAATGTTGAAATAGCAGCAAGGGTTGAATTGAACTCGACCACGTAGTTTTGGCAATTTCTGCATTAAGGCGCCGAATAATTGAGAGATATGGTACAGTAGATGGCAAAATTACTTTGGAAATGCCTCATTATCACGGCCCTCAGGGTACCCGTACCCCCCCCCCCCCCCCCCCCCCCCCCCCCCCCCCCCCTTTTTTTTTTTTTTTTTTTTTTTTTTTTTTTTTTTTTTTTTTTTTTTTTTTTTTTTTTTTTTTTTTTTTTTTTTTTTTTTTCTTTTCTTTTTTGGATGCACGGTGATATCACCAGTTTTCAGCGTAAGTACGCATATGCTCGACAACAAAGTCGACACTATTGTCCAACCATTGCAAGTTTGCGATTTAGCCAGCAGAAAAATCCATCGCCGTAATTGAAACGGGTGTGCGTCCCAATAGAAGGTACGGTAGAAGCGTGTTAAGTGCTTCACATCCCATAATAGGGGAAGAACGCGTTACTAATTATTATGAGGCGTACAAATCCGGCATACCGCATATTAATTCAGACATAATGATGCACGCGGACGGCCTCTTATGCTGCACGACACAATACTGCAAGTGTCATGCTCTGGCCCTTACACTGAATCATAATCTTCTTTGGGCCTTGTCTTTTTTTTTTTTTTTTTTTTTTTTAAGGCCATAATCTTATAGGCCACCACAATCTTTTAACACCAAATCAAGAGTTACACCAGTAACTGCAATTTCAGTTTGCACATAGCAGCGAGGGCAACTTCTCGTCCCTCATAGCTGTGGTAGCTGCTGTGTCGTCAGGCAGAGCAGCACCATCTCGATCTCGATAGCACCAGCAAATCACGCCACAGCAGATGCGCTATTGAGGCAGCAGCAGCGACCGCACGCTAGCAGCGGCGATCGTGCACCAGCAATGGCGATCGCAGGCCAGCAAAGGCGATCGCGCGCCAGCAGCGCAGATCGTGCCCAGCAGCAGCAATCACGGAGTAGCTGCAGCGAACGCGAAGTAGCAGCGGCGATCGGGCAGCCGTAGCAGAAGCGATCGCGCAGCAGCAGAAGCGACCGCACAGGAACAGCGATCGCGCGGCAGCCGCAGCAGCAGCGATCGCACAGCAGTGGCGATCGCACAGCAGCAGCGATCGCACAGCAGCAGCGATCGCGAAGCAGGAGCAGCAGCGATTGCGCGGCAGCAGCAGCAGCAGCAGCGATCGCACAGCAGCGGCGATCGCACAGCAGCAGCGATCGCGAAGTAGCAGCAGCAGCAATCGCACAGTAGCAGCAACAGCGCACAGCAGCGGCAACATTGATCGCACAGCAGCAGCAGCAGCGGCGATCTCGCAGCTCCAGCAAGATTCGTGCGCAGCAGCAGTAGCGATCATGCATCAGCAGCAGATAACAGGATAGCAGTAGCGATAGGACACCCGCAACTGCAGCGGTCTTGCCACATGCCACCGTGAGTTTGTTCCAACCGCAACAGCAGCAGCCGTTGTCTCGCCATGCGCAGCGTAAGCAGCAGCGGCTCGTCTCATAGCAGCAGCAACCGTCCCGGCAGCAGCAGCAGTCATAGTCGCTGCAGCAGCATCGCCAGCTCCAAGAGGTCGCAACGACCGCAGCCGCCGAAACGAACACCTCCTATGCAGCAGTATCGAGGAAGATCGCCACTGGTAGAAGCAGCGGCAATATGTTCCGCGCAGTATGTTGCACGTAGATGTATCAGCAGTGTATATTATGATTTTGCCATAAAAAAAACGATTTTTGTACTTGCAATTGCAGAAACTTCCAGCAGATATCGCTTCATTCGTAGAAGCAGCATGTACGAAGTTCTCGTCATGTACGAGGTAGCAGCAATGGCGGGCGAGTTAGTCTAGGAGGGTGGACAAGTTCCCTAGGTGTGCTGTTCTAGATTCAGATCTAGAAATGATTCGACTAGGTGGCAGGTCTGTGGACCTGCCACGAGATAAGGAGCAGATGACTCCTTACTGCATAATCCTTTACAAGTCTTGTCATAATCTTTAAATTTTGAAAATTGTATTTAAAAATTTTACATCTATTAACAGAGAAGTAGCTGTAACAGCACAATATATTCCAGATAAAGGTCGTAGCTGTATAGACATCATAGTGTATTATTCCGATGAGAAGGACTAATATAGTCCAACAATAATGAAGACTCATTACATGTCATCGGCCTATATTCATTTATTTATTTAGTTCATATGAATTTCTCCATGTAGTTGTCATCCAAATCCTCGGTCTCTTCATCGCTAGTCTCCTCAATTGTGATGGAGTACCATTTCTTAGACTTGTTCGGCACTGCAGCCTTTACCGGGTAATCTTTTTTCGCTTTCTCTCTCTTGTCAACTGCCGTCCGCTCCGCCTCTTCTCCACTTGAAGCACTTGTAACCACGGAATTTGCCTTGGCCTCCAGTTCTTCCTCCGATTGCTTTTCTAAGGCATCTACTTTGGCTGATCGTGGTTTTCGAGGCCGTTTGAATCTTGGAAGCAGGCCCAACATCCGCGCCACCTCATGCAACCCTCCCCACTTCTCAAAAGTCCTCGCTAAGTCTCCCCTACCTGGGAGCATAACCGCGACAAGAATGTACGGTTAAAGAGGCAGTTTAATAAAACTTGCGTAACGAAGAAAAGCTTGATGATGGCATCACACACTACCAGAGATACTGACCGTGCTTCTGTAGGAGCATGCGTGACGGCATCTTGTTGTGCGGCAGGTTATGATCCATCTGAAACTGAAGCACCTGTTGTGAAAAAGGAGGTGAGAGAGAGGAGAGAATGAAAGAAAGTCAATTGTGAACCCAATGCAGGGGACTTAAATACTCACCACCCCAACCAAGTGCTTAACGCATCGTTTGAAAGCGACACAATCACAAATAAAACTGTAACCCGCGCTCACACCTCTTGTTTCAGATTCGCCAGGTCATCCCAGTACCCTCTCGGCTTCCTTGCCACTTGCATATTCAGCTTTTGCGCTACTGCGTGCACTCCCCCTGCAAATTGAATCTCTTTCTCAATATCCGATCTCCGGGATGCCCGCAAAATTCCCCGTGTCGGCATTGTGCCTGGTTCCAACCCCTGCTCCTTACAGAACCCTTCCAGCTTCTCTTTCAACCTGCCCAAGTCGACAACTTTAACCTTCACTCCCTTCTCTCTCTTCTTCCTCCCAACCCCCTCCCCATCCCCTCCCTCCTCTCTCTGCCTTTCACCCACACTCTCTAGGCCCATCAATCCCGTGCTCTCCCCCATCATCTCCCCTCCACCGTCCCACTGCCCCCCGCTGAGCTCGTCCGCCCACAGAAGGTCCAGTGGTTGCTGAACCGACGCCAGCCCCACAGCATAGGGAAGCCCCGCCTGCTGCTGCTCCGCAAACGCAAGCCCTGAGAGGTCCGGCTCATGGCTGCGAATCTGACCCTGCGATTTTGCTTCAACTGCCCTCTCACGCTCACGGTCCGCCCCTGCTCTCCAGTTCTCCGTGTCCCCCCATTCCTCTCTCCCATTCAACCCCTTGTCATCGCCCCACTTCTCGTCATCTCCCCAAGCGTCTCTAACCCTCCACTCTTCTGCTGCGCTCCAGTCCTCCGCATCACTCCATTTCTCTGCATCGCTCCAGTCGGCCCGCCCTGCATCAGGCCACGACCGAGCCTCATCATCGGTCCACACATCATCCATCCCTCCGCCTTCCCCCATGCGCATCAGCTCCAGCACCTCCTCTCCCTGCAGCCCACCATCACCCGCCAACAACGCTCCACCCAACCCGTTGCCGCCGCTGCCGCCGCCGCTGCTGCTGCTGCTGGCACCGCTGCTGCGGCTGGCATCCACGCGGAACTCAAACCCGACCGGCCCGTGAAGGTCCTCCCACTCCTCCATTCCACGATCGCTCAAGCTCTGGTCTGCATCACTGCGCTCAGATATCGAACCTGCTTTTAACGAGACTCTGGATTCCGACCTTGTTCTCCTCTCACCGCCGCCGCTGCTGCCGCCGCTGCTGCCACTGCTGCTGCTGCTGCTGCTGCTGCTGCTGCCACTGCTGCTGCCGCTGCTGCTGTTGTTGCGACCGCTGATGTTGCTGCTGCTCCCAGCACTGCTGCTAACCCCATCCTCTGCGTCTCGCGGCGTGCTCTCCTCCCCAATAGGCCTCTTCCATTTGAACCCCCGCCTTCGTCGAAAATGCCTCCTGTCCTTGCTAATCGGAACCTGAGTCTTATCTACCTGGTTCTCCTTCTCCTGGTCCCGTTCCGCCTTCTCCTTCTCCTTCCCCATCTCACGCTGCCTCTCCGCACTCTTTCTGCTGCGCTGCCTCTCCCCTTGATCGCCGGTCCGAAGCGATACATGTTTCTGCGAGAGCTTATCAAGACCCGCGTCTAGCGACTCATCCAGTCCTCGGGGATCGCGCGGCTGCCTGTGCGATGCAGCGCGAACGGACGAATAAATAGCGACGGCGGCGCTGCAGGGAGGTGGACATGGTGCGAGTGGGCTGTTACAAGCGGAGATGATGGAAATCCGTAATGCGGACGTGGATTTGAGGAGGAAAAGCGAGGCGATCGAAGGCAGGAAAGAGGTGCTTGCCGCCATGACTACTCTGGCCTAAAAGAAATGTAGCTGGGGAATGCATGTAGGGTGAGTTGTCCATCTTCGTTATGCGCTCAAGAACTGTTCAACGGGTATCAACTCCATCTAAAAAGCATGTAGGCAGTACATCCAACATTTGAGAAACAGGCATTTTCCTAGGTGAATTTCCAAGCTTTAAAGATCTAATATTAATATTTCCTGCCATTACATAACCTTGCATTTAAATACACTCTGTTATTAAGCACACCACACAACTACCGTACCCTACACAAAATTGAACACTCCACACACTGTAGATTTGAGCGCACGCGAGGAAAACGAGAAGAGAAATAGCGGGCGCAGTTTCGCTCGCATCTGCTATCTTGCACAATTGCAAAAAGAATGGCGTGCACCATCATCCTGCGAATGCATTCCAAGTCAGCAGCATCCAGTCGCAAGGGGCGCATGACAGTTGTGGAGTTGAAAGTTGAACAAGGACGGCGAAATAGCAAACGATATCGACGTCCGCGAGGCATAGGAACTGCCTCAAAAATTGGCACACTCGTGCTTCACAGCAGCGAAAGGCTCAAATGTGTCACTGTCCATCACAGGCTGCTCCTGCTCATGCTGCTGCTGCTCATGCTCGCCCCATTGCTGACCCGGACTGGGCATGGTGGTGTCTTGAGCAGACCCAGGCAACGAAGGAGAGGCTGTGGCGAGACCAGGGAGGTGGGCAAGCTGCAGAGCAACAAGAATTGGAGAGAAACAGGGAAGCAATGGTGAGAAGCCAGGATTCATGAAGAAGGTGACGAAGTGGCTGATGTCTGTGTAGGCACTGAAAAGGCTGTGCGTGCATACGATTGAACTTCGCCTGTCATGAGTGCCCAGGCTTAGACTTCGCTACTCCTCTTCTCCTCTATGCCTATGTCTGTCAATCCACCTGACTCTGTGATCCCTTGTTCAGTTCGCATCTTTGGTTCCTCGTTACTCCATTATGTGTGCATCCCGCTCTCTTGCATTGTTGGCGCACAGGGCCTTGAATGTTCACTTCAGCACTCAGATTTGACCACGCCAATGAGAGGTGGAGTGAGTGGCAAGGCGACGTTTCCAGATAGGGAGTATAACGGGGGGAAGAGGCGCATAACAAGGGAAGTAACATGTGTCTCACCAGTGGGCGATTAAGGCCGTCGCGCTTCTCTGCACTGGCGCCCTCCTCCTCTTCCTGCTCAATCCACGGCGACTGGCCTTCGGGCGCCTGGTCGGACCACGCGCTGATCACGTCCTCATAGTTCAGACGCAGGCTCGGCGACTGCTGCTGCAGCTCCTTGCGACTGCCCAGCTTCACCGCCATCCCTCCCTCCGCGTCCGCGCCTTCCGCTGCGGGACCGCCGCTGCTGCTTCCGAACACGTCCTCCGCGCGAGGCCGCTTCCCGAGATGCGCCTGAGGGGGGTTTAGCGCGGCCGCGCTCTCGCTGGTTGCGCCACTGGCATCCCCCGCAGTGGGGGAGCCTTCAAGAGGCTCCACGTCGACCTCGCTCTCCGCCTCTGCAGACTCGTCCAGGCCCCACCCTCCCACGAACCACCCCTCCGTCTCGCCCTCCTCCTCCCCGTGGCTGATAATGAACTCCTCGAATCCCTGCGTCTCCAGCTTAACCTCCCCCTCCCCCTCCCTCTCCGCCTCTCTTCCGCTCGCACTCTCCCCGGCGCCGCTCGCGCGCACCGCGCCTGCGCCGCAGCCGCTGCTGGAGCTCGCGCGGCTGAACGACGGCGTAACCGTCGCGTTGCCGCTGGTCTTCGGTTCACTCGTGCTGAGGCTGATGGGTTCTGTAGCCGTTAACCCCCGCGCAGGCTGCTGCGTCTGCTGCGCGCAGTGGTCATGGGGAATCTGAGGAGCGTCTGGGACTTCTCTTCCCGTGCGCCCGTCCACTACTGGCGTGCACTCATCGGCTTCATTTACAAAGAATCGGTCCACGTCATCGAACGACAGGATATCCAAGAAAGCCTCGTCCGCCGTCCCTTCTGCTGGCCTTCGGCCGACTACCCCCTCCGCTTCCTGCTTCACCTTGCGCTCCGCGCTCTCCCCGACAGCCGTTGCCCCTGTCGGCGGAAAATGTACGCCGCTCCGCTTTTGCTTCTTCGATGGGCGCGGGCCTCGCATGCTCTCCGCCAAGCGCGGGTGATGCGGTACGGCTGCGTAGTCTCCCGGATGTCCCATATACTCGCTAGGAGCAGCTCCCATATAAGGCATTCCCATATGCGGTCCGTACATGGGACCCCAGGGCCCAGGAGGATAGACGACGCCGGGAATCGGAGGCGGCGCAACCCAGGGGTGGGCGTAAGGGGCCATGTGCGGCGGGGGAATGTAAGGAGGGATCATGCCGGGGCCATAAGGGGGCATAGGCCGTACCCCTTGCGCGGAGCAATCGTCTGGGCGCCAGTAGCAGTGCGGGGGAGGGGGGACAGCGGAAACACCCCGCGGAGAAACTCGAGAAGCATCAGAAGCTCCGCAAGGTGTAGCGGAAGCGGAGGCTCCTCTTGACGACGCTGCGTTAGGCACGGGCCCGCTTCGCTGACCGTTGCCGGTTCGTCCTCCTTGTGACGGCGGGACGATCGGCGCGCAGTGCGAAGAGAATGTTGGCTCCCAAGCGTGAACTTGGGGTTCCGACTTTGCGATAGCACCAGTTTTTGCTCTGGCAGTCCCGATACTTTGCTGTTGTCGCTTTCTACCTTCGCCAGGTGCTACTGTTGCTCCTTGCACGAGCATTTCCTCCTTGATGGGTAATCGGACTCTCGAGGATTTTAGACCAGCAACGTTGGTAACCGTGGACGACGCTGTTGCGTCGGTTGTTGGAGAGTTTCGCATCGTCGCAACGATGCCTGATCCCCGAACCATCGCAGGCAACTCGGAGTTTCCGTTACCGTTACCATTACCACCGGCGCGACGGAAAATCTTCACTGGAGCTCCGTTAGGTCCCAGTCTGACACGCTCGTGCCGTTGAGAGAGAGGATTGGCTCCATGGACAAAACCGTCGCACACGTCGCAGATGTACGCGTCGTCAGCTGCGCAGTAGAGTGTCGCAGGCTCGGTCACGCACGAGTCGCACATTCGCTTTGGACGAGGGAATGCCGGAGCGGTGATAGAGACAGAATCCAGAAAGGTCTGGGACGAAGCCATTTTTTCCTGCTTCAGTTGTGGCTGTTCTTGCGTCTTTGTCTTGTGATTGACAATCTCTGCCTCGGATGGCGACAGTGTAAGCGTTAGCTTAGACTGCTCAGGCTTCTGAAGGACAGACTTCCCTTTCAGGAATTTCCCTGAGGAAACAGAGGTAGGAATTACTGCTGCTTGAGTCATGGTCATGGCTCCCTGAAAACAAGAAGGGATGTTTTGAGATCCCTTGAATGTCACAGATGGCCAACTGGTAGTTGATGTCTTCAATGTGCTATGCCAGACTTGGATAAGAGGGAGAAACGTGTCTGTGCTTCCTCAGGTAATGCTGCTGACTGGAGATTCAGCATCAGCAAATTGGGGGAGGGCAGCTTGAAGCAGACTCCAGTCCAGCACGGCAGGCAGAACGGAGTGAGTCCCTCGTGGATAAAGTGTTTCGTGACGAATGGGATGAACTCAACACTCGCTTGGGTCCTTCGGGAAAGCTCGCTGTGGTGGTTGGTCTGCTGGACTCTGGTGTCACAACTCCTCGTCTGTCCTTGTTTGGCTGGGAATATCCTTTGGAAGGATCAGGCCACCGAGTCGGTGGTTGGGATCATGATTGGTGCAGTTGGTTCGGGCAGAGCTCCAACGGATGGACAAAGTGGCTTCGGAACTTTTCTATCCCAACGCACATGCGACCTGCTGCCAATTTGATTCACCTTACCACTACACTTTATGATCCCACGGGCAGATCCTGGAGGCCAGCGGCTCACAACTTCGGTTCGGGAGTTGCACGCGCACAAGCTTGTTCCACTGTACAGTCTTTTCCTCCAATCAGTGATGCTGCCGAGCCTCTCTGTTTTCGGCTCGGTGATCTAATCTTTCTGGCTGACGATATTGAGGCGCTTCGCCTCAATATTGGTTGGCTAGGACGAATGTGAAGAGCGCTTTGGAGGAGTGACCCGTCGCTGGATGGTGGAGCGCGAGACCTCAGTACGCTGCGAAACGCGAACCAGTAACTCACCCACATTGCGTCAGCAAGCTCAAATTCCCTGGACTCTCAAGTGGCTGTGCGTGCATGTCGCCAACTGCATCAATTCTTCACCGTTCGTTCCGCCCATCAACAGAAAGGAAGGGCTCCCTCCCTCGGAGCCCAAGAATAGGCGAGGCAGGGCAAGCACTCAGAAAACTTTGGTTTTTTCTGGTCAGTGTGAGATTCTCTCAGTAAATGCTGGAGTGGTCTGCTCTTTCAAGTTCCGACAACCGACGTTCAGAAGTGTTCGACCCGTAATTACCCAATGAAGTGTGACGTAGTGTACCTTGGTGATTACGTACGTCGCCAAGAAACAACAAGAGCGTCAACAGCAGCAACACAACACAAGCTTTGTGTTATGAGTTGTGAAGGAGAGTGCGCAGATTAACAAATAACAAGATTGTGATTCAACAGACTGAGCATACAATGAAGGCACACGCTAATGTAGTGTAGTGGCTAGCCTAGCTAGGAGGGAACCTCGGGTGAGCGAGGTTGGGTGCATGTTTGGCGAAGGGAAACGCCGAAGGCGACGCGAGGAGCCTCGGCATCGTTGATGTCGGCCAAACGTGCAGAGTCCGGAAATCGGGGCTGTACGCGAAGCAGTCAACCCCGATAAGGAATTCGGAAAAAAATCCTTACACTTTGGGTGGGGCATCTGCGATTGGAGTCCAAACTTATATAATACTTGACTGTTCGCCTATTTCTAACTCCACGAATGCAGAGCTCCAGAGTGATTAGTTCGCTTGTGTGCTTCAGCAAATCAGACAACTCTCCGAAAAAACGAAACGTCTAAACGAGCATAAACACAACATCTTTTTATAATACGTACAACACCTAATGGTCCGGTTCCTCACCCGATACCCCATCCGGATGGTCCGGTTGATCCGGTTCTCCACCCGGATAACCCGAATGATCCGGTTCCCTGTCCGGTTCCTGACCCGGTACCCCACCCGGATGGTCCGGTCGGGTCCGGTTCCCTACCGGGATGGTCCAGTTTGGTCCAGTTTGGTCCAGTTTGGTCCGGTTGTTTGGACCTTTTGTATGCGTTACCCACTACCAGGCATCCTACATCTGTAAATCTTTGCATTGTGCCATCACCTCAACCGGCGATCCGTGAGACCAAAATCTTCACGAGCCTTGAAACGCATGTTCAACTACGTGTACCGCGTTAAATCTTCCTCTGTAACAACCAAACATGCTTCAAGTATCCATACGGTAAGGGTACGTTCTTGCCTCGTGTCTGACCTGAAGTTTCGGAAGATCTGAAGTGACCTGGAACCCTGGCAAATCAATGTTCGGAAGACCCAAAGTGAACCACTTCGGGTCTTCCGAAGCTCCACTTCGTGTCTGACACGAGGTAGGAATGTACCCTAAATTTTGCACAAAACACATGACACCCACAATCACATTTATTTTTTGTTTCCAACACTCTATTATGGTGAATTATGATGCACAAACAAGCCTGAAAATGTATGAATATTTTATTTTATGCCTCTAATGTCAGAATGTATTTGCTTTCTAGCCTGCAGTGGAGTACTCTGTAGTAAGTACAACCCAATTTAGGGTTTGCTATTTGTATCCCAACTCTTGCTAGTGAAATCATCCATTCCTCATTTTCTCCTTCTCGACTTTTCTCTCGATACTCAACTCTCTCGACACTCAATGCTTAGCTTCTCTCCCTCGCCATGGTTCCTAAGTCACTCTAGATTCTAACATGCTATCAGAGTAGGTCGTTCCTAGGACCTCACATCAATGGGCCCACCACCTAATGCCCTGCTAGCCTAGGCCCCGGCCCGTCGCCCCTTGGCGTCGCCCCTAGCCCCTAGGCTCGGCCCCTTGGCCCCGTCGCCCCTAGCTGTGCCCCTCGGCCCCGCTGGCCCCGTCGAATCCGTCGCCCCGCGCCCGGCCCAGTACCTCGCCCCGCGACCGGCCCGTACCTAGCCCGCGCTCGGCCCCGTCTCTCGCCCGCGCCTGGCCCCGTACCTAGCCCGCGCCCGGCCCGTATCTCGCCCAGCGCCCGGCCCGTACCTAGCCCGCGCCCGGCCCGTACTTAGCCCGCGACCGGCCCGTACCTAGCCCGTCGCCCGGCCTCGTCCCTAGCCCAGCGCCTGGCCCCGTACCTAGCCCGCGCCCGGCCCCGTACCTAGCCCGCGCCCGGCCCCGTACCTGCCCAGCGCCCGGCCCCGTACCTAGCCCGCGCCCGGCCCCGTACTTAGCCCGTGCCCGGCCCCGTATCGCGCCCAACGCCCGGCCCCGTACCTGCCCAGCGCCCGGCCCCGTACCTAGCCCGCGCCCGGCCCCGTACCTAGCCTCGCGCCCGGCCTCCATTCCGCGCCCAACGACTTGCCCCGTACCTAGCCCGCGCCCGGCCCAGTACCTAGCCCGCGCCCGGCCCCGTACCTAGCCCGTGCCCGGCCCAGTACCTAGCCCGCGCCCGGCCCCGTACCTAGCCCGCGCCCGGCCCAGTACCTAGCCCGCGCCCGGCCCCGTACCTAGCCCCGCGCCCGGCCCCATTCCGCGCCCAACACCCGACCCCGTACCTGCCCAGCGGCCGGCCCCGTACCTGCCCAGCGCCCGGCCTCGTCCCTAGCCCAACGCCCGGCCCCGTACCTAGCCCGCGCCCGGCCCAGTACCTAGCCCGCGCCCGACCCCGTACCTAGCCCCGCGCCCGCCCCCGTTCCGTGCCCAACTCCCGGCCCCGTACCTGCCCAGCGCCCGGCCTCGTCCCTAGCCCAACGCCCGGCCCCGTACCTAGCCCGCGCCCGGCCCAGTACCTAGCCCGCGCCCGACCCCGTACCTAGCCCTGCGCCCGGCCCCGTTCCGTGCCCAACGCCCGGCCCCGTACCTGCCCAGCACCCGGCCCCGTCCCTAGCCCAGCGCCCAGCCCCGTACCTAGCCGCGCCCCTCGGCCCCACTGGCCTCGTCGCCCCTAGCTATGGCCCCTCGCGACCTGAAGCCCCTAACCGCGGCCCCGTCGCCTCTAGCCTCGGCCCCTCAAGACCTGTCGCCCCTAGCTGCAGCCCCGGTGCCCCGTCGCATTATGGAGGGTAAGGGGGTGGCAAGAGGGGGTTCATCCTGCCCGCGTGCCCTGCAGTCGCACGCACAGCTCCGCCCCCGCCCCCCTCCCCCCCCTTCCCCCCCTCCATGGGGACGGGGGGGAGAGGGTGTGAGGGGGTGGCGGATGTGCCTCAGCAGCAGCAGCTGCCGCCGCGCCTCC